CAGTAGGTGCCCCAAAAGACTACTGCAACCTGCAAGAATTACATGTGACATAATCTCCCATCCTCATGAAAATCTTTATTTGAATTTTTAAGGATTAGAGAATGATTTAAATCCTGACTCATGAGGTTTTATCTTCCTTTCAGTTCTGCACTACTTTTGGTGTGAAATAACCGCACCAATTCTGGATATTCTTGTGATCCATGTGCATGTCTAACCCCTGTTTGAATCCTGATAAATTGATTATCGTCAGCAGCATCAGTGCTCTATTTGTGCAGTGCATGAAGTATCAATGTTCCTAATTTTTAATAGCTATTTTTAAATTTTCATTTTTATACTTTTAAATTGGCCACCTTTCAGCTTCGCTGTTCTTATAATCAGACAGTGAATGTTTCTTGTTTACCTACCTTGTTACTAATTTAAGTGTATTTTTAGTGTTTGAAGCATTTCTTTCCTTTCTGGGGTAACTAATACAGTTCTATCCAGTCTGATCTTACAGCTTGTTTTCATTGCCCCAAATGCTTGCTTTCTCTGAACATGCAGATTCCACAGAACCCATTTTTAAGATGGCCTCCCAACCTCTGAACTGTAATCCAACTGATACATAGAGTCTATCTGTACAAATACAATTTTTAAAGATTACCCGTTATCTTATTACTACCCATTATCTTATTACTGTTGCAGTCTAACACTTTAGCTTTTTGTGTCATAGATGCGTGTTAAGTAGCAATCTGAAGTGAACTATCTGCAGTAGTGCGCAGGCCCGCATCCCAGATTTATGCAACTAATGAAACAGGTTTATTTGGATTTTTCTACATTGTGTGTAGTTCATTTTCCCTGCATTCTGCAACTATTTGCATTTATTAGCATCAGTCTTCTGGTGTCATGGTGTAAATTCAGCTAGTACAGTTAGTTGTCTTCTGCTGAACTTCTTTCTCCCAGTCCTGATTTGGCTAAAACAAATAACTGGGTGTCAGCTGAATGTTTCGCTATTTGGCTCTTCACCTCTGGAGTTTCAGATCATTAGTAAGTATGTTATTAAGAAAGTATTTGTAAGTATAATACTAGCTCTTTTGAACTAATAAGGACAATTGTGTATTACATAAAAGTCATGAGTTAAAGCATCTCTAACCAGGTAATCTCATCAGCTTTCTTAACCAGTGTTTTGGGGTGTTTTGGGCAAGCAGACTCTGATTTTCCAACTCTAGTTGTTAATGGCTAACTGGGTTTTCAGTTGGTTTCATTGAGAATACTTGGTTCAAGATGAACTATAGCAATTAATACTCTTTTCTCAAAGCGGGTGTGGTGTGTTGTTTTCTGACAAGATGGAGAGTAGCCTGGAAGCAGGGAGAAAAAAGAAGCTGTGCTCCCTCTGCTCCCATGTGCCTTCCTGCCCCAGACCCTTGTTCCCCACCAGGACACTTTCAGATCCCTGCCTCCATTCAAGAAGTGCCGATGTGGTGGCTGCGAGGGAAATCAGTGTCAGGGAGCAGAGTGGGCCACTGCGAATGGGGCAGGAGGAGTAAAAGGATGCGGTAGCAGGGTGGGCCTGAGCACCCACAAGAACAGAAAGCCACTGGGGTACTGGTCAGCAAAGCTTGTCTGGGTGAGGGGTGTATGACAGCTTAGAAAAGAGGTGTAAAGATTGGCATTCATTTGTATGTGTAGGGAGGTTAAGGTTTCAAACCAAACGTAGTTTCATCTGTTACATTGTAAATTGCAAGAACTAGTAGGAATTGACAACCTTAGTTTCAGCCATCATGGTCTTACCCATACACACAACTTAGTAAGTATTTGTGTTGTAGGTGCCTGGTCTTACATGTCTTGGCAGTCTTAATCATATGTCACTGTTAAAGCAGACATGACACAATGCAGTGTAATCAGTGTATCTGGAATATGATGGCATGATATTAAAAAATCTGATTCCTTCTTTTTCTCTCAAGTGATTGTAAAAGGTAGTAGTGAAGATGTTAGAATACAAATACTGTGATGTGTAAGTGCAGGGTAAATTGAATGAAATTCAAGAGTACTTAGAATGTGCAAATAACGGAGACTAAGAGCTTGTGCAAAAACTACATTAGAAACTTGCTTAAACTGCATGTGTCAAGATGTAAATCTTGCAGGAAGCTTCCTGCATTGCTTGTTGCTTACTGTGTGTTATGACGAGGTTCCTTTTAGGTGTTTGCAAGTCATGTTAAGAATTTGATTTCTGAAATGTTGGTGTGGTAGAGGAGGGAGCACCTCAGTTAATGCTTCTGCTGATTACATATGCAATAAGGTGATGCAATTGTGGAAACCAAGCCTGTAAAACCAGAGGTCCTTTGCTGAGTAGTGTGTGAGAGGATTGGAAATTC